TTGTCAAACTTACTGACATGAGATTATCAGTATTTTTGAGATCTAGAGAATGTGCACTGATGTTCATTTTTTCTTGACACTGTTAATGTGCATCTTTTTGTCTTGATCAGTCTAGCTAGAAATTTATAGTGTACTGATTTTTCCCCATAGAACCAATATTTGAGTTCACTAAAATTCTATCTTTCTGCTTCATTTTTTCTATTATTATTTTCTTCCTTCTGCATGCTTTGGTTTAATTTGTTCTTCGTTTCTTATAGCAGAAACTAATTTGCTAATTTGAGACCTACCTTCTTTCTTAATATAGTCATTTAAGGATATCGATTTTTTTCTCTAGTACTACTTCAGCTGCATCTCATACATTTGATATGTTGTGTTTCATTATCCTTCAGAATACAGAAGACTTTCTAATTTCTCTAGTGATTTCCTCTTTGAATAAACTGTCATTCAGAATTTTTTTGTTAATTTCCAACACTTGGTATATTCATGATCATCTGTCTTAGTCAATCTGGGCAGTTATAACAGAATACCATAGTCTATGTGGCTTGCAAACAACAGAAATCTATTTCTCACAGTTCTGGAGGCTGGGAAGTCAAAGATCAAGGCCTAGGAAGAGTCAGTGTATGGTAAAGGCTGCTTCCTGATTCATGGATGTTTTCTTTTCTTGGTGTCCTCACATAGTGGAAGGGGCAAGGAGCTCTCTGGGGTCCCTTTTACAAGGGCATTCATCTCATTGAGGGTTTTTGCCTTCATTGCATGATCACTTCCTAATGGCTCTACCTCCAAACACCATCACATTAGAGATTAGGTTTACAATTCTGAGTTTAAGGATGACAAAAGCATTCAGTCCCACAGGATCATCTTATTGTTAGAGATTTCTAATGTATTTCCATTACGGCCAGAAAATATATTCTGTATGATTTGAATGTTTTCAAATTTATTGTTTTATGGCCTGAAATACTGTTTCTCCTGGTAAATATATCATTCATACTTAAGATAATATGTATTTTTCATTGAAGTGCATATGTATATAAAGAAATTAAGTCTGGATTCTTGTTAATGCTTTTCAATTTGCTATGTCTTTGCTAAATTTCTCTTAGTTATATTTATAGCTCAAAGAAAGCTTTAAAATCTATAATCATGTTTGTAGAATTCTCCACTTCTCTAATTTTGTTAATTTTTCTTCATGAACTCTGAAGACTTGCTATTGGAGCCATTTCTGGTTACATGTCTTTCTGTTGAATTTATCCTTTCGTTTATGAAGTGCCTTTTTTTCTCTCTGGTAATATATATTATTTGAAAGTCTTTTACTGGTAGTAAAATAACCATTTCAATCCCCCATGCTTACTGTTTGTATGGCACTGCTTTTTCCATCAATTTTTATTTATCTGTGTCTTCATATTGAAATTGCATGTTTAACATGCAGATGTGTGTTCATTGCAGCAGTAGTCACAATACCAAAGACATAGAATCAACCTAAATGCCCATCAATGGTAGACTGGCTAAAGAAAATCTGGCACATACGTACTGTGGAACACTATGCTGCCACAAAAAAAAATGAGATCATGTACTTTGCAGGAACATGGATGGAGCTAGAGGGCATTATCCTTTGCTAACTAATACAGGAATAGAAAACCGATTGCCACATATTCTCAGTTATGAGTGGGAGCTAAATGATGAGAACATATGGACACATAGAGGAGAACAACACACACTGAGGCCTACTTGAAGGTAGAGGGTGGAAGGAGGGAGAGGATCAAGAAAAATAATGAATGGGTGCTAGGCTTAATACCTGGGTGGGTACTAATGGGTACAGAAACTACATGACAAACTCCCAAAAAACCTGCACATGTACCCTGAACTAAAAATAAACATTAAATTAAAAAAGAAAGTAAGTTCATGTCTTGAAAAGAGCATATGATTGGGTTTTTTCTTTAATTCAGTCACAGAATCTCTGCCCTTAATTGGAGTGTTGATTTATACAGGTTTTTGTCATTATTGATATGATAGGTTTTAGGTCTACCATGTTATTTTCTCAGTTCTCATTTCTCTGTTTCTCTCGTCCTGACCAATGATTTCTCATCAGAAACCAGAGAAACAAAGTAGAATAACATCTTTAAAGTGCTGGAAGAAAAAAAAGGTCAACTAAGAATTCTATATCCAGTACAGATGTCCTTCAAGATAAAGGCAAAATAAGGAGATATTTCAGGTAGAAGAAAATTAAGAGAATCTGTCACCAGCAGATCTGTACAATAAAAATTGGTAAAGACAATTTTTCAGGCTAAAAACAAATGATACCAAGTGGAAAATGAAATTATCAGAAAAGATTAAGATGTCAGAAATAGTAGATATTAAATGCAAAAGGTTATCTTGCTCCCCCCTCCCCCGATTTAATCTTACTTTATATATATAGAACTGTTTAAAGGTAAAGTAAGAAGCCTTTCTTATGGGGCTTATAATTTATGTAAATGTGTTACATATATTTTTAGCATAAAAGATGGACGTCATATAGAAGATAAATGGTTGCAAGATTTCTATATTTATGTGAACTAGTACATTATCAACTGAAAGTGGGCTGTGAAATGTTAAGAATGAGTTAAGTTCTGAAGGAAATCAAGACACAAAAAAATAATAGATCAACAAATTCAGGAGATGGTTTTTTGAAAAAATTAATAGGATGGATAGGCTGCTAGCTAGACTAATAAGGAAGAGAGGTGATCCCAATAAGCACAATTAGAAATGACAAAAGAGATGTTACCACTGACTCTGCAAAAATAAAAATAACCATCAGAAGCTACTATGAACACCTGTATGTACACAAGCTAGAAAACCTAGGAGATAAATTCCTGGAAACATACACCCTCCCAAGACTGAACCAGGAAGAAATTGATTCCTTGCAAGGACCAATAATGAGCTCCAAAACTGAATCTGTAATACATAGCCTACCAACCAAAAACAGTCCTGAACCTGATGGATTCACAGCTGAATTCTACCAGATGGACAAAGAAGAGCTGGTACCATTCCTACTGAAACTATTCCAAAAAATACAAGAGGAGGAGCTCCCCAACTCATTCTATGAGGCCAGCATCATCCTGATACCAAAACCTGGCAGAGACAAAACAAAAAAACAAAACTTCAGGTCACTATGTTTGATGAACATTGATGCAATAATCCTCAACAAAGTACTTGCAAACCAAATCCAGCAGCCCATCAAAAAGCTAATCCACCATGATCAAGTAGGCTTCATATCCAGGATGCAAGATTGACTCAACACATGCAAATCAATTAAGTGTGATTCATCACATACATAGAACTAAAGACAAAAATCACATGATTATCTTAATAGATCCAGAAAAGCCTTTTGATAAAATTCAACATTCCTTTATGTTAAAAACACTCAATAGCAAGTGCTGTGAACCACGTGGGTCCCTGGAGCGTTTTGGGTCCTGGCAGCTGCAGCGGGAGTTCAAACCTAAGCAGCTGGAAGGGACCATGGCTAACTGTGAGCGTACCTTCATTGCGATCAAACCAGATAGGGTCCAGCGGGGTCTTGTCGGAGAGATTATCAAGCATTTTGAGCAGAAAGGATTCCGCCTTGTTGGTCTGAAATTCATGCAAGCTTCTGAAGACCTTCTCAAGGAACACTACATTGACCTGAAGGACCGTCCATTCTTTGTTGGCCTGGTGAAATACATGCACTCAGGGCCCGTGGTTGCCATGGTCTGGGAGGGGCTGAATGTGGTGAAGACAGGCCGAGTCATGCTCGGGGAGACCAACTCTGCAGACTCCAAGCCTGGGACCATCCATGGAGACTTCTGCATACAAGTTGGCAGGAACATTATACATGGCAGTGATTCCGTGGAGAGTGCAGAGAACGAGATCAGCTTGTGGTTTCACCCTGAGGAACTGGTAGACTACACGAGCTGTGTTCAGAACTGGATCTATGAATGACAGGAGGGCAGGCCACAATGCTTTTCACATCCATTTCCCCTCCTTCCCATGGGCAGAGGACCAGGCTGCAGGCAATCTAGTTATTTAAAGGAACTTTGTCATACTTTGGAAGGAAGCTCTTGGAGCTGTGAGTACTCCCTGTACAGTGTTACCATCCCCTACCATCTGATTAAAATGCTTCCTCCCAATGTTTAAAAAAATAAAATAAAATAAACTAGGTATTAAAGGAATATACCTCAAAATAATAAGAGCCATCTATGACAAACCAACAGCCAACATCATACTAAATGAGGGAAGCATTCCCCTTGAAACCCAGCACAAGACAAAGCTGCCTTCTCTCATCACTCCTATTGAACAGAGTACTGGAAGTCCTGGCCAGAGGAATAAGGCAAGAGAAAGAAATAAAGGGCATCTAAATAGGAAGAAGGGATGTCAGACTAACCGTTTGTAGTTGACTATCAACAAATAGTTGATAGTTCCCTCAAGGCTCACGGGCTCTTGTATCAGCTCATGGTGAAAGCTGCCTACTAGTCTTTAATGGATTAAAATGTATAATATGTTTCACTTGTGTGTTAGTCTGTTTTCACACTGCTGGTAAAGACATACTGGAGACCCGGCAATTTACAAAAGAGGTTTAACGGAGTTAACAGTTCCACATGGCGGGGGAGGCCTCACGATCATGGTGGAAGGCAAGGAGGAGCAAGTCACATCTTGCGTGGATGGCAGCAGGCAAGGAGAGAGAGCTCGTGCAGGAAAACTCCATTTTTAAAAAGCCATCAGGTCTCAGTTGGGCACGGTGGCTCACGTCTGTAATTCCAGCACTTTTGGAGGCTGAGGCAGGGGGATCACGAGGTCAAGAGATCGAGACCATCTTGGCCAACACGGTGAAACCCCATCTGTACTAAAAATACAAAAATTAGCTGGGCGTGGTGGTATGTGCCTGTAGTCCCAGCTACTCGGGAGGCTGAGGCAGGAGAATCGCTTGAACCCAGGAGGCGGAGGTTGCAGTAAGCCAAGACTGCGCCACGGCATTCCAGCCTGGCAACAGAGCGAGAGTCCCTCTCAGAAAAAACAAAACAAAACAAACAGAAAAACCCCATCAGATCTCATGAGACTCATTCACTATCAGTTTGATCCTCCCCGTCCCACACCCAGGTCAGTGTGATCCCCACAGGGTAGAAGCCCAGGGCCCAGCACCTCAGGGTGGCCTCATGGTCAGATGGGGCGGCTGATCACGTGTGCCTTTGAGGGGTCTGAGAGGAAAAGTCAGAAAATTCAGACACTTTGCACTCCGCGCCCATGTGACCATCCTGAGAATGGACAGGACAGGACACCTGGGGTCGGGGAGAGAGCGCAAAACCCAGACACCAGCCTGGGATTTATCACAGGAATAATTATCACAGGAATCTGGGATAATGTTCCTATTCCTTGGAAAGGTCTAGAATCTGGATAATGCAGCCTAGGTTGAGAGGCTCCAGGTCTCTGAGGACTTAAGCTTCTGACCCAGGTAGAAGCCAAGAGACGCAGAAAGGCTGCAATCAGACCTCCAAAGACACTGACTGTGAGGCAGAGAAGAAGGTCTGAGAGAAAATCGCCCTGTGGTACCCAAAACTGCTGCAGGGGACAAAGGGAGTCACTGATTAGTATTCTAGGGATTGTCTTCCCCTCCATTCCCTCAAGAGACTTCATCACTTAATTGTCCCTCAGAGTCACATCTCACGATATGAAACCCAGAGGGAGAGCGATATTCTACCATTGATCCCATTTTCCTCCCCTCCTCGTGGGAGGCCAGCCAGATCTACAAATCAGGGAGACGCCTCATCGCCCCTGGCACCCGCACGCTACAGGGTCTCCTTCCCGTACTCCAGGTATCTGTGTAGGGACTACACACACACGCCCTCCAGGTAGGCCCTGGATTGCTCTGCCTCTTCAACCTACTCCTACTTGGGCTCGGTGATCTGAGCCGTCCTAGTCCAGGAGCACAGGTGCTCGTTCAGGGCGGGGTAATCCTTGTAGTCTTAGGCATGCTGCTCATACCCGCGGAGGAGGCGGTCCTTGGAACCTACTACTCTGCCAAACATCTCCTGGAAGGTGTGAGACCCTGGCCGCTCCCCCACGCTCAGCCCCGCTCACCAAGCCCCGCCCCCACCCGACGCACCTGCGGGGATTTTCGCTTAAACTGAAAATGAAACCCGGTAAACGCGCCTGGGGCTCTCCCAAGTCGACGCTCCAGACAGGTCCCGCAGCCTCGGGGTGGATCTCGGACCTGGAGACTCACGGCGACCCGGGCCGTCCGTAGGGGACGGGGAGGAGTCGTGACCTGCGTCCCGGACTGGGGTCACTCACCGGCTTCGCTCTCATAGTAGCGAAGCAGGGTCTGCAAGTTCCCTTGGAAAGTCTCTGCGTGGGTCTTGGCGCTTCGTATCTCCCGGTCCCAATACTCTGGCCCCTCCTGCTCCACCCACGGCGCTCGCGGCTCCATCCTCGGATTCGCGGCGTCACTGTCGAACCGCATGAACTGCGTGGCCTCTACGTAGCCCACGGCGATGAAGCAGGGCTCCCCGCGGCCGGGCCGGGACACGGTGGTGCTAAAATAGAGAGGTGACAACGTGCTAGCAATCCTCACTCCCAGCGCCTCCTCGGCCTCGGCGTCCACTCTGGTGGCGCTTGAGGAGCCCTTTAGCCCGCCACGGCACCGTGGGAGCCCCTCTCGTCTGGCTGAGGCCAGAGCCGCCTCCCTCTGCTTGCGGGGAGGTGTGCAGGGAGAGGCGCGGGCGGAAGCCGGGGCTGCGAGCAGCGCTCGCGGGCCAGCGTAAGTTCCGGCAGGCGCAGGCGCGGGCTCGGCGGGCCCCGCACACTGAGCGGCCGGCGCCGCCCGCCCAGGGTAGTGAGGGGCTTAGCACCCGGGCCAGCACCTGTGGAGGTTCCGCCGGGTCTCCCAGCAGTGCTGGCCCGCCGGCGCTGCACTCAAATTCTCGCCAGGTTTAGCTGCCTCCCCGCGGGGCAGAGCTCGGGACCTGCAACCCGCCGTGTGTGAGCTCCTCACAGCGGTGGGCTCCCGCGCGGCCTGAGCCTACCCGACGGGAGCTGCCCCCTGCTCAGTGGCGCCCAGTCCCATCGACAGCCCGAGAGCTGAGAAGTGCAAGCTCGGCTCCGGACTGGCTGGCAGCTACGCCTGCAGCCCCAGTGCAGGATTCACTTGGTGAACCCACTTGGGCTCTTGAGCCGAATGGGGACTTGGAGAACTTTTATATCTAGCCAGAGGATTGTATGTGCACCAATCAGCACTCTGTTTCTAGCTCAGAGTTTGTAAATACACCAATCAGCATTCTGTGTCTAGCTCAGGGTTTGTGAATACACCAATTGGTACTCTGTATCTAGCTAACCTAGTGGAGACTTGGAGGACTAGCACTTTGTGACTGTGTCTATCGCAAGGATTGTAAATGCACCAATCAGCACTCTGTGTCTAGCTCAGGGTTTGTAAATACACCAATTGGTACTCTGTATCTGGCTAACTCTGTAGCTAGCTAACTAGCACTGCGTGACTCTGTCTAGCTCAAGGATTGTAAACGCACCAATCAGCACTCTGTCAAAATGGACCAATCAGCTCTCTGTAAAAAGGACCAATCAGCTCTCTGTAAAATAGACCAATCAGCAGGATGTGGGTGGGGTCAGATAAGGGAATAAAAGCAGGCTGCCTGGGCAGACTAGCTGTAGTTTTTTTGGGTCCGTTTCCATGATGGGGGATAATTCTTGGTGTTTTGCTGTGTTATTGTGTCCACTTCAAGAGCTGTATATAGGCGAAGGTTTGCAGTCTTACTACTGAAAGAAATGAGACCACGAACCTGCCGAGACGAATGAACAAGTCCAGACGCGCTGCTTTTGAAAGCTATAGCATTCACCATGAAGATTTGTAGCTTCACTTCTTTTGAGGTGGAGTCTTATTTTGTTTCACGCTGGAGTGCAGTGGCATAGATGCTGGCTCAATGCAACCTCTGCCTCATTTTTGAGTAAGTGGGGCTATAGGCGCCCACCACCCTGACCGGCTGATTTTTTGTATATTTGGCAGAGAAGGGGGTTTTCACTGTGTTAGCCAGGATGTGCGGTTTCACTCTGGACAGCATAGGCCACAAACCAATCAGAATAGAAAAAGCTTCAGATCAGTCTGAACGTCTGAAGAAACAAACTGCAGCTACACCAATTTTTAGGGATTGCTAACACCGCGAGGGTGTACGGATTCATTCGTGACATCAGTGAAACCACAGCACACCAATTCCAAACAATGTCTCAAAAAGTGGGAGCCTGGCAATGAGGGACTGAGGCCCGCCCGACCCTCCTGGCGCGGCTCCGCGGGCTGGGCGGGTCTTTCGCTCCTAGTTACAAAAGCGGTTTCCTTCCTGATCCTGCACTCGCCCACGTAGGTCTCCGTCTTAGTCAGGGCCAGAGTTCCTGGGGGAAGCAGCAGCAGGAGGAGGGTTCGGGGCTTCACGAGCCCGTCCTCGGGATCTGCAGAGTCTCAGCCCCATACGTTGCGACAGGCGGAAGAAACTTCCGGGCATGGGGAATCTGTAAGGCCGGGTTTCCCTGATCTAGACACGGCTCTCAGGCAGGACGTGAGACCCTGAGAGGGGTGGTCCTGCCGGAGGACCTGGGATTTCGCCCTGACCCTTCTGCGTCGAGCGGTCCTTGTCACACCGTCTCCCTGTAGTCGTGGCCCAGGAGCTATGTCATTGGTTCTCAAAAGCTTTGGTTTTATGATCCCTATATGCTCTTAGGAATGAGTGAAGATGTCAAAGGTAGTTCTGTTTTCATCTGTTAATATTTACCATATTAGAATTTAAAACTTTAGTTAATTGATATAGAGTGTTAGTAACCCATTACATGTTAGAAATATTTTCATGAGAAATAACTACCAAAATAATACAGCGAGAAGAGTATTTTTTTTTTGCATTTCACATGCTTACAAGTTTTTTTCCGGTCTCTCGTTAGACTAGTGGATTTTCATAGCTGTTTCTGCATGTAATCTGTTACTTTGATGGAAGTTTGTGAAAAAAATCCAGCCTTACCCAAACTTGTAGTAGGATTTTTTTTTTTTTTTTTAAATAACATTAGCAAAGGAATAACCAAAGATAAGGTGAAAGATCCAGGAAGCCAGAACTGCCCCAGGTGTGTGGGCACCAGTCCACAGGTAGCAGGACTGAGGCCTGTGGGCCAGATGTCTTCACAACAGTGAGGTTGATGGAATCCCAGATGTGCTTGAATATAGTCAGGGAGACTGTTTTAGTCTGTGTAATGGTTTGGATCTGTGTCCCTGCCCAAACCTCATGTCAACTTGTATCATTGTTGGAGGTGGGGCCTGATGGGAGGTGATTTGGGGGCCGTTTCTCATGGTTTAGCACCATTCCATTGGTGCTGTTCTCTGTTTTTCTCACAAAATTTGGTTGTTTTAGAGTGTGTAGCACCTCCCCTGCCCCCTTGCTCTTTGCTTTGCCTTGCCTTCTCATGACTAAGTTTCCTGAGGCCTTGAGGCCTCTCCGGTAAGCCTAGCAAGTGCCAGAATCATGCTTTCCATAGACTCTGAACAACCGTAAGCCAAATAAACTTTTCTTTATAAATTACCCGGATTCAGGTATTTCTTTGTAGCAATGCAAGAACGAACTATATGGTCTGTTTATGCTGCTATAACAAAATGCCACAGACTGAGTCAATTAAGAACAGAAATTTATTTTCTCACAGTTCTGGAGACTGGGAAGTCCAGGATCAAGGCACCAGCGTCTGTTGAAGCACTCTTGCTGTGTCTTCACATGGCAGAAGATGGAAGGGCAAGAGAGAGGACAAGAGAAGCCAAAAGGGGTGAACCTGCTCCCGCAATAATGGTATTAATTCACGAGGGCAAAACCTTGGTGACACAAACACCTTCCATTAGATCCCACCTCCCAACACCACTGCATTGGAGACTGATAAAGTTTGGGTGTTGCCCCCCTCTAAATCTCATGTTGAATTTTAATCCCCAATGTTGAAGGTGGGTCATGGTAGGTGGTGTTTGGGTCATGGAGCAGGAACCCTCATAGATTGGTGCTGTCCTTGTCATAGTGCATTCTCCTGAGATCTGGTTGTTTAAAAATCTGTGGCACCTCCCTCCCCACTTCCTCCTGCTTTCACCAAGTGACATGCCTGCTTCTGCTTCTCCTTCCATAATAAGTGAAAGCTTCCTGAGGCCTCCCCAGAAGCCAAGCAGCTACTAGTACCATGCTTGTACAGCCTGCAAAACCATGAACCAAGTAAACCACTGTTCTTTATAAATTACCCAGTCTCAGTTACTTCCTTACAGCAATACGAGAATGGACTGATACAGGGATCCAATTTACAACACATGAGCTTTGCAGGACACATTCAAACCATAGCAGAGGCTGCTGGGGAAAGTTTGGGAGAGATCTTGTAATGAGTAAGGCAGAAACTAAGCACATGAAGGAACAAGACATTTATTAACCTCAGGCAAATTAAGTAAATTTGACAGAGGGAAAGTAATCACAGCTGCTAGCCTAGTTGTGAATACCATTTACGTGGTCATAATGTAAACACTGAACACTGAGCTAACCAAAATAAGAAAATAACTACATTGGGAGGACAAGGGAATGTGGAACGGAGCTATCCACTATGGATGATTGATAAAAAATAAACAATGGGCCGGGTGTGGTGGCTCATGTCTGTAATCCCAGCACTTTGGGAGGCCAAGGCCAGGAGATTGAGACCAGCCAGGCTAACAAGGTGAAAACGCGTCTCTACTAAAAATACAAAAATAATTAGCTGGGCATGGTGGTGGGTGCCTGTAGTCCCAGCTACTCAGGAGGCTGAGGCAAGAAAATGGCGTGAACCTGGGAGGCGGAGCTTGCAGTAAGCCGAGGTTGCACCACTGCACTCCAGCCTGGGCAACAGAGCAAGACTCCATCGCAGAAATAAACAACAGGCTGGGCATTGTGGCTCACACCTGTAATCCCAGCACTTTGGGAGGCCGAGGTGGGTGGATCATGAGGTCAAGAGATCGAGACCATCCTGGCCAACATGGTGAAACCCCATCTGTACTAAAGAAAATACAAAAATTTGCTGGGCGTGGTGGTGCACGCCCATAGTCCCAGCTACTAGAGAGCCTTAGGCAGGAGAATTTCTTGATACCGGGAGGTGGAGGTTGTAGTGAGCCAACATCACGCCACTGCACGCCAGCCTGGCAACAAGCGAGACTCCGTCTCAAAAAAAAATTGAAAACAAAAAACAAAGGCGCCGCCGGGCGCGGTGGCTCAAGCCTGTAATCCCAGCACTTTGGGAGGCTGAGACGGGTGGATCACGAGGTCAGGAGATCGAGACTATCCTGGCTAACATGGTGAAACCCCGTCTCTACTAAAAAAAAAAAAAAACTAGCGGGGGGAGGTGGCTGGCGCCTGTAGTCCCAGCTACTCGCGAGGCTGAGGCAGGAGAATGGCGTAAACCCGGGAGGCGGAGCTTTCAGTGAGCTGAGATCCGGCCACTGCACTCCAGCCTGGGCGACAGAGCCAGACTGTGTCTCAAAAAAAAAAAAAAACAAAGGCGCACTATAAGCACACTATTTAGAGGAACAGAAGTCACAATAAAAGAATTAGGCAAAAAAGTCAAGCAGGTTGCCTCTGGGGTTCAGGAAATGGCATGCATGAACACCGGAGATGTGTTTCTTCATAACAAGCCTTGTAGATATTTAAAAAAATTTCAAATACTGTCTATATATCCATCTGATGTTTACAAAGACAGGAGAGGATTGACTCACTAATTTTTCTATAAAGAGTGTCAGGAAGATGGGGTAGTAGAGGGAGATAGGGGATCAGGCAGTGGATTTTTATGGTAAGATTTTATTTTAGTTGTTTTAATGGGAAATGTTACAGCATGTTTGTATGCAGGAATGAATGAATCAATAAAGTAGAAATTGATACAGAAGAGGGAGGGCCTGGCCATCCATCATCACTGGTGCTGGTGGGAAGGCTGAGGAGACAGGTGCAATGTGAGGATAGTAGTGGAATGATAATGCAGTTCTCACCTGAGTTCTTTTTTCCTAAGTCAAAGAGAAATAAATTCATCACCTCAAGGTGGGAGTGCAGAAAGAGTGGAGAAGAAAGTAGGAAATACCCTTCTCAGGAGATGTCAGAGTAAAGTGATCCAGGAAATGGCATGTGGAGAGTGCAGGGCTTTGGGGGGTGGACACTGAG